AGTTCATAAATCATTTAGAGTTTGGAACTATGACAGTCATCATAACATTTTCTTGAATGCTGCTTTTGCAATTAGATTGTGTAAATTGATCGTCTTTGTACTGTAGCTACATGTGGTCTTTGTTCTTTGCATCTGTCTTGCATAAGCTGGTTGAAGTACTTTGAGCTTTGAATTCCCAGAGTGATTCTGTTCCTGTCTGGCAGTCTTAATTTCGTCTAGCTCTGAGAGCCTCTGACAACCTCTTTGGCATGTCACTGTCCTTTCTTTGCAATTGTAGAATCGACACAAGCTATTTAAATATGCATACAATAGATTAGTCATAAAGGCATTTCAAATGCATTTGAGAGTATTTTCCGTTTTGAATAATCTTGAATCAGATGTCCTGTAATTATTCAGAGCTAGATTACAGCTATATTGGCTCTACTTTTTTCTAATTGTACATTTTGTTCTTTGCTTTCTATGACTAAGGAGCTTCCAATTTTACTGGATAAAAAAAAGAGGCTTCCGATTTAGCCGTGAAGAATTATACACACTAGAAGTGTTGAAATTTGAAATATTAATTGCCCCAAACTGCACTAAAGAAAGTATAGCCTATGCCATCTTGATTAGTTTCTTTCTGCTTTAGTACGAAATAGCATTATCTGTCCCTTATTTAGGAGTACTTGCATACTTTGAATACTAGTAATGTTCTCATCTTAGGAGTGCTCAAGTGTTTCAGTTGAAGTACCTTAACAGATTGCGAATCATCATCTTAAAACAATCAAGACACTAATCAGTAAAATGTCATTTCCTCACCTTTTTATGAAGATTGTGGCTCCTTCCACTTTCACTTTATGTGCTACTCGCCTTTTCTGATAAGGAATAGTAATATACCCACCTTGCTTATGTATGCTGTCTTGATGATTATTGATCTTGTTTAATGCTAATTGTCCTCTACATCTTTTTTTGTGTATCGATTTCATTCACTTGCATATATGGTGGGAGGCGCTATTATAATATACTTTATTTGAGTAAAATTAACTTCATAGAACGTCCGGGAAAAGGACTTAGAATGTTGTAACCTCCTTTTTACATGTTCTATATCCTTGTTTTGCACATCAGTATCTCGAATTCTCAATGCTTATACCTTTGTGATGTTGGAGAGAACCTAGCATGTAAGCTTTTGATTTGTGGTAGTCACTAACAACTATATTAGCTAAACATTCAGCTGACGTTGAATTATTTCTCGTGCAGATGAAGGCGCGGTTGTTGGTGAACCTTTTCCCTATTTCCTTTGCTCGAGAATACTCACAATCTTGACGATAGAATCTAGTCCACAAACCTAGATTTCAAGGTGTGTTCAATGACTACCTGAGAAGATAGAAGAAAATTTCTTGCAACAACTAACTTGGAAGTAATATTCTTCCCCCATTATAAGAACTCATGTTATAGTATTAGCTGCTACTTGTTTGTGACTTCCATTCTCAAAAGAGAAAAAGAAACCTATTAGCTTGTAAATATGAAGATTGAACTTCATATGATCATATATAGAAATTTGTATCAATCCTTTGTCATGGATAGTTGTAATCGAGATCAATGCCTTTTTGGATCAGTTACCCAACTTGTACTGTCTTTCAAATTTTTGATTAATATAGTTATCTAATGCATTGGATGTCATCCCCCCCCCCCCCCCCCCCACACACACACAAATTCAGAAATGAAGTCGTAACCAAAGTGCTTGGAGCCTTATGCTTGTCAAGAGAGCAATTGTCTGTGATTCCGCGGCTTGCTTAGGTTAGGAGAATTCTTTTTTGATTTTTGTTTTACCGTTGAGAGAAGGATCATAAGCCCTAGTCCTAAGCTAAACAACATATTCATCTGCACCTGAAAGGGACGAAGTGACTCGATTGAAAGGAGAGGGAAGATGCACAAAAAAGAAACAAATTCCAGCAAGAGGCAAGATTAAACGAAGAACCAAAAGCAATGTGAAGGAGATGCATACATAAAAGAGACAACCAGATCTGATGAAACAGAATACCTAAGTAGAATATAAAAAATTATGTATCTATTTGTTACTATTCTCTTCGTTTAAAAAAGAAATGGAGGGAGTATTATTTAAAATTTTCTAAATAGTTTGTGCTAATTTCTTACTAATTAGAGAAATTACTCGCACTTTCGCATGATCATATAAAAATCAAAATACAATTAACTACCTAATATTTTAATTTTGATTAAATAAACAGTCAATTGTTATATTATATTCGAAGTAATAGTGCAAGTGAGTAAAAGTTTAGCACAAATACAGAAATTTACAAAGGATAGATTTGAGGAATTAAAGCAATATAGTAGTATATGTTTTTGAAATTTTATTATTGATGTAGCTATAATTAAAAATTATACACAATTAAATTTATAGTTACTTTTTATTTCTTAATTTGTCTAATTCACTTCATTTTGAGTCAACCATGTTTTAATATTGGCTTTGTAATATTGTCTTCAATTCTTTGAGATGTTTTACTAAAGGGAAAAGGGTCTGACAAAATATTTCAATTTTGACCAATTTTGTTGTTACGATACCAAACTTTATGGAGGACCTTTTACCCTTATACTATTAAATAGTGTATTTTAAAGGTATATGTGTGTCCACGTGGACACATTACTATTTAAAATGATGCAATATTTATGATGTTCACGTGGGCACACATATACCTTTAAAATACACTATTAAATAGTGCAGGGGGTAAAAGGTCCTTTCCAAAGTTCGATATTGTTACAACAATTTCTGTCAAAGTTTGGATATATTTTAGACCTTTTTCCCTTTATTAAACATTTCAAACTCAAACTAATTAAATTATTAAAAAATATTGACTTAACTTTGAATGCCTTACGATCATTATAATATTGTTTTTGTAGTTAAAAAATTACGAAATATTATATATATAAAAAATGATACTCTAATTGACATATTCAATGAGTGAAGTGTTAATTTTATTTTAAATACTTTTAGGATAATTTTGATAGTTTATAACAATTGATTCCATTGAAAAAGTTTTTTAAATTATAATCAATAAAAGAGATTTAAATATTTGTGTTGTTATGTAACGTACAATAATTTATATATATTTATTTTTTTGTTACAAAATATTACAGAAATACTATACTGTCAATTGAAAAAGAAAAATTAACTATTAAATTATAATCAATTAAAATAATTTGTATCAATCTTGTGCCATGGATAATTGTAATCGAGATCAAATGCCTTTTGTCGTTCTTCGAGTTAACAGAGGAGATGGTGTCAAATTTGAAATGCATGGTTTTGCAAGGATTGAAGAGGCAAAACTAAATTTGAGGATTCTATATTCAATCCCCCCTTTTGAATATGGCAATGCAAGAGATAGATCGTCTCGTGGCTATTGAGAACGAATTAAATTAGGACAAATGATGAGTATTGTACTAGCTTTTTACTGTCAAGATGGTGTCAACTTTCAAATTTTTTATCAAACAAGAAACAAATTGTTATCTGATGAATTGGATATAACATTGGTATGTAGTTACCATGAGAAGTAGAATTTAATCATTGGAATGATGTTAAACTCTTTTATATCTGTAAACTTGTTGCTGATGTATACAACTTGTCTTTAACCTAAATGTTTTTTTCGTAGACGAATAACATATCTAGTATAATTTCACAAATCTTATCTTGTGTGGGTAGTTTTGATAGACCATCGGCGAGGTGATTATTGTCCAATGTAAGAACAACAACATACTCGGTAAAATTCATAAGTAAGATTTAGGAGGGTAAGATGTACGCAGATCTTACCCTTATCTCGTGGAGGTGCAAAGCTTGTTTCCGTAAGACCCTAAGCTCAAGTAACACATCAAATCAGTTTGAAAAAGAAAAATACAAAACTAAAAAAGATATAACAACTAATAGAAAAAACATTTCATAGCATTCAAAAGACAGAGAGCAGTAACAATAGCCAAAGCACAAGAAATAACCAGTAATAATATAAATCGTAGGACAAGAAACTACAAAAATAATATTACTAATACTGATATGAACGGATAAACAAATACGACACACCAAACTATTCCCAAGCATATTCGGCAAGAAAGCGAGACAACACTTGATTATCTACTAATCTTCCACTCTAATCTACGATCTTCATATACTTCTATCTACGATCATGCCTGGAGTAAACGGTTGAAATAACATCACAAAATTTCTTTTAATATGCAAAAATTAATAAGAAAAATGTACAAAAACTCTAATCTACGATCTTCATATCCTTCTATCTACAATCATGCCCAGAGTAAACGGTCGAAATAACATCACAAAAATTCTTTTATTATGCAAAAATTAATAAGAAAAATGTACAAAAACTAACACGTGGCGTGGTCGGCAGGATTCGAACCTGCGCGGGTAAAGCCCACATGATTTCTAGTCATGCCCGATAACCACTCCGGCACGACCACTTCATGTTATGGTATTTACTAAATTAAATATATATAAATAATATTTGGTATATTTATTTATTAATTTCATAATGAAGCTAAGTTTAATGTTACAAACTTTCGCATTGTTAAAATTCTATAACTCATTAGATGAAGTTGTAGATTGAATGCTACATCAAAAATATAAGACAAATATCAAAATGACAACACTCAAAAGTAGAAGATCATAACATGGGCGATTCGACAAATGTAGATTTATAGATATATGAGCATTAATTATAAGTCTTATCAAGAGTTACATGTTGTCAAAAAAGTCTTCGTTTGTTATTTTTGGGACTTAAAGTTCACAAACCTAGTTATGTGAGTTCTTAGGAACACAACATATTTGTTGACGTAGACTGATGTATCTGTAGTCTTATCTCTAGCTACCTTGTGAAGGTAGAGAAATTGTTTCGATATATAAAAACAGTACAAAAAGAAAATACAACAATAATAAAAAGATATTCTCAAAATAATGAAGAAAAGAACCATAACAATATATAAGGATCGAGCAAGCATATGTATCAATTATATAAGGGGTTTTAAGAACTAGCTAGCTTGAATGAGGCTTACATTAGACAAAAAATAATAATTGCAAGAACAAAAATTGGAACTATAAGAAAGTACTCCCCAAAATGTGTACTCTTTGCTTCTCTACTTGTACTATTTCCCTATATATAGTTTTTCCAAGCTGTGGTCTCATTTGATCATTTGCTAATTAAGTGAACTAGATCAATTTTCTTTTGTGTTTCTCCATGTTCTACATACCAAGTCCTTTGGCCTCAGTAGTCCTCATGATTCTTAGCCTTTTCACATTGCTCAAAAACATCCTACAAGACAATGCAAACAAACATGTAAGCAAAGACAGATTCATAATTTAAAATTTATGGATTCTTATAACGATAATGACTTGTAGCCAAGATTGTTTATTTTCTTATAATTATGATATCTAGGCTAACTTGCATGTACTTTGATTAATTCCACAAAATACTTATGTCACCAACTTGTGCAAGCAACAAATATGATGTAACTCTGTTGTATATAAATATGTCAAGATTTGAACTAACTATAGAAACACTAAGTTGAAAGAAATATTTGTTACCCCCATGGAACATCTCCAACAAGCATCCAATCTCCATCTTTATCCTCATATGTGAGGACAAACTCTGATGATCCATCCAAGAGCTTACATGACTTTGTTACTTGTTCCTTTTCTCCACCTATTTCAAATAAGCACAAATTCAATTAAGTATCATATACTATCACTAACAAGAAAAATCACACTAACATGCACTATCTAGGGTAAAGAGAGGTTTCCTCTTAGTTAAATGAGTTTATAATTAATCAGAATCACAAATGGATATCAGACGTTGGGTGGAAAATCAAGTGTCTGATATCCATATTATAGCCAAGTTATTAGTCAGTAATTGTATTCAGTCTCTGAACTATATTACTTGGGCTCTTTAAAAATATTGTCACACTTATGCCTGATCCTCCAAAAATGCAGTACTTTTTGAAGAATCAAACACGCACCTATTGTCATTTTGAAAAGTCCGAGCAACATAACTTTTGAGAACTAACACCATAAGATCATTTCAAAGACAATTTAGTAACTATGATAGATATCTCAACTTACAATTAGTAGTTTTGGTTGATTTGAAGAACATTTCCTCCAAGATTTTGGCTAAAGTTTCATAGCAAATGTGAGAACTCAAATTCACTTTTCTTCCTATTGGCAGTCCATCCATATTCACCTTTACAAAATCTACATCATTATTCTTGGTACTATTTCCATGATTAATTTTCTTGTTTGAACTCTCAATTTCTTTGTTCCCATTTTCTTGTTGATGATCAGCATTTGTAATCTTTGATTGATTAAAACTATTCATCCTGTAAGTCCTTATTGGTGGCCATCCCACAACCTGACTGCTACAAAAAAATACTAGGTTAGAAATAACTAAGGTTAATACCTAAAGAAATATATTATATGAACATAGTAATGTGCATGAACCAATTAATTAAATGATTTTATTAATTAAAGAGAATTAAAGTAAAGAGATAATCACTTTTTTGTATAATTATTTGGTATCAAACCACACATGCCTAAAAAAGAAATTGCTCCCTATCTAGAGATTTTTGTTCCCAAACAACAACAACAATAATAATAATAACATATTTGGTGTAATCTTACTGGTTGAAGTCTAAGAAAGATAGAGTATATACAGACCTTATACCCTCCGAGACTCCTACCTCTTGGAGGGAGAGGGACTATTTTCAAAAGATCCCGATTCAAGTAATGCATATCAAACAATATATACATAGATTAAAAAAAAGCCTTAACATATAATAGAGGAAGCATTCAAGGAAAAGAAACAATAACAACAACCAAATAGAGTAATGTGATGATCAAAACACTGAAAAAATATTCAATAAATAGTATAATAAATTTCGAATTTAACTCTTTATTTATGCTAGTTTTCTCACCACACACAAAACTGAATTTTTCATTAAGAATCACATTCATCCCATCGCACCCTTAAAAATAAGAAACAATCACTTCATCAAAGCCACAACTTTGGAAAAAACTTTTAAAATAATCACCAATTTACCAAAAAAAAAACTTAATTATACATCATATCCTTTCATTTCATGATCATAAACCTTTTTCATAAAACAAATGAAAAATTATTATGGCGAACTGATAATTGATTTTTATCCTTCGTCTTTAACTATTGCTCCTAACAATCGAACTTATGCCTAGCCAGGACATAAGCTCTATAAGGCTAAGTACAAGAAATAACTTCTGAAATATTACGATACGAAAACATAAACTTATACCCAACGAAAAAGTTATTTACCTGGCACTTGTAGAAGCAGATCCAATATTCTCATCAGTACAAATATTATTAAATCTCCTTGTAATAAATCCATTAGGAAAATCTTTAGCAGTCAAAATTCTACCATACTCACACCATTTTGTTGATGATTTGTTAGTCTTTGTAACACGTGGGCCTAAGCCCAAGCCCAATTCAAGCCCAGTTTCATCACTGTAAGATGAGTTACTCTCTGAACGCATTTTCCAATTTTTGACAAACTACAAATATTGAAGTTCAAGAAATGAATGAGAATGAAGTGATCATATATATATTGGGAGATAATTAATTAATTTAATAATAATAAAAATGTTTAAAAAATGTTATATTTGGGACCCATATGTTTGCCATTGAGCCAAGCTCTTTTTTTTATTAAATAAAATGATTAAACAAATGAATTCTTCCTCTTCAAGTTTCATTTGAAATCATTTCAATTTTCTTTTTGCCATTATATGTACTTGAATGTGTTATTTCTATGTTCCCTGTAGCTTTTAAGAACTTTTCTTCTTTCTTATTCACTTTTTTGTCCAAATGTTGGGACTAAACTTACAATGAATATAATTTTAGTATAACAAAAAGTTACGATAGAAGTGATAAGTATTACTTCACATTCAAAGCTCAGCTAAAGATGAAATTATTTTTCCAGGGAGCATTTTTTTTTCCTTTTAAAGTGAAAATTCCGATACAAATTTAAATTAAGAGGACCTTAAATGAATATCAAACATCGAACTAAGAAATAAAGAAAATAATTTCCTCAACTCCTTGAAAATTCAATAATTTATTGTTTTTATCCTTTAAGGGCTACTAATTGATAAAAAAAAATTACCTCCTCCTATGTTTCTTTTTGTTCTGGTAGGAATAAGATTATGTATATACCCTTTTCTTTTTATAAATATTTCCTATAAAAAATTGTTTTATTTAATTTAAGTTGGTGCATATATGGCCAAAACCACTATTAGGTCTATCATTTTGAAAGCAAAAGGGTAAGTGATAGTTGTCTTCTAAATAATAGACAAACAACACAAAGAAAGTAAATAAATAAAGTATATTGAAGCCAAAAAAACAGTATATAGTCTAGACTAAGCTTTTGGCTTGTGAAAAGAATCAACCTTTTACACATTAACCCATGAGTTTTATGCTAAAGTTGAGACACCTAAACTTGACTAATTAAGATTTTCTAAATCCTTGATTTTGTTTTATGTCATTCCAAATGCTTAATTAAGATTTATAGGCATAGTTTGTTCAACATCGACTTACATATGCTCTTTTAATAGAGAAATATGACTTCGACCATTTAAGAAGCATTTTAATTATATTATACTAGCTAACACCTTTAACATGTAGTAATATTCAAAAGAAAGTATATATAAGACATTTTCTTCGTTAATCTATTATACAAAAAAGAGTACATTTCTTGACGAAGAACAAATTAAAACTTTACGACAATTTGTTTCATAAACGTTTACTTGCATCACATACACAAGTGCTCTTTGAACCATGCAATAAGGAACACCAACAACAAAAGTACTCTGCTGGACCGACACTGACACTGAGACACAAAATTAGCTAGGGAAGTGAATGAGATTAGATAATTATTATATCAAAATTACGACATTAATTTTTTTTTATTTTGTTATAATAATTCAATATCTATCGTATCCATACTGAATAAGTAAAAGAAAACGGAGAAGTAGTAACTTTTTATGCGACAATGATATTTTTTGCAGGCTCGAAATAGATTCATGTTTGATAGTACTATTAAGCTAATTATTAAATTAACCACATTAAAGTTTTGTATCTTAGATATGATCTTTGTCGGATCAAATATTATTATTATTATTATTATTCTGTCCAAATTAACTTTTAATAAAATGTAATATAATACTCAATTAATAAACATGTTTTCTAGAGACAATGCAAGTATTAGAGAGCTTTATATAGATCAATAAATAAATAATTAATTTTCTTTAAAAAGTTAACACCAACTAATTTTAAGGTCAACTTGTATAAAACTATGCTCATTAAAGATCAAAGCATATCACTGACGAATGTGATGCAATAAAAATGAGTGTTTTTCCTTAATATGAGATTTCAAATTCAAATTCTGAATATGAAAAATTTCTTGATAAAGAATGCTTCCTCCTGAATGAAGGCTAAATTCGAACTAATCAAGTTCTAAATTTCTAATATAAATACAAAACACCAGACATAGGATAAAATAAAATAATTAAGAAAAATCGTGATTCCAAATCACACGTTTAAATAATAATTTAAAATAACGACTTCATATCACATGTTCAAACACAATCTAATTAAATTCAACTTATTTTATATGATCTACCAAGGAAAATAAATCACAATATCTACATTTCTACAAAAAGGTAGGGGACATAGAAAAACACTTTCCAGTAAATAAAGGAAAAAACATGGCAACACAAATCAGAGACTAAAAAAAAAATATATTTGAAAAATGATGAGTGAGAAATTGCAAATGAAACTTGAAGAGGAAGAATTCATCATTTTGAAGAGTGTTTATATCAATGGCAAACATATATGGGTCCCATAGGGCATAATCATCATTAGTTTTTAAAAAGATAAATTAATTTTTTGATATAAAAATAAAATTATTCACTTATTTTTAATTAATTATAGTTTAAGCAATGCACTCCATAATTTTTTTTGCTTAAGGTGACAAAGGAAAATTATTTGTGTGACAAACTTACACATTACACTTATTTTAAATTATATAACATAGATATAATCTGACCTATATGTGCTTCGAAAAAAATAGAAAGAATTCAGTGATGAACCATAAAACAAAATGAATTATAGTTCGGTTAAGTTCACCAAAATGGGGAAAAAAAATAATACAACATCTTATTAATTAAAAACAATAATAATAAATATTTTCTCTTTGCAAATAATGTATTTTCCTTCATTTTCCTTTCCCTTATCACAATTGCCCCTTGAAATCTTCTTTTGGGCTTTTTACACCCATGACCTGCTTCCAACTGATGGGCTTTGAAACTTTGGATTCATTCTTCTCCTTTTGGGCTTTCCACAAACACATTGACATTCATAACCATAAAAGTTACCAAAACAAGAAAAAAGCCCACTCCCACCATCAGTATGCCTTCTCGTATGCCGGCCCGTTGAATGGTAGCTACTCGACGCCATACCCCGGTCATATAATGGCGGTAGCTCGGTTCTCCACCTCTCGAGCTTCGACCGGAGTCCTTCAACGCTTTCATCTATACTCCAACCATCCAAAACAGAACTTTTCTCCTCTTCTAAAGGGTATTTCTTTTCAGCAATAGCAGCAGCCACTTCAGAAGGTGAAGGCCCAACTTCAGAATCAGACCATACTGAATGGGCCTTTAATGGGCCTCCAAATACAAATTTCCCATTTTGCCCTTTTGGGCCTCCATAATCAAACCCACCATTATTTCTTAACATGGGCTTTCCAATAACTGTTGTTTGTCTCTCTTTTGGGCTTACATCTAGGCCCAAACCTTTATTGGGCTTTATTGTAATGGACTTTTCATCAACTACCTTAGTCGTCGGTGAATCGGTTCCACCCTTCTTTTCATTAATGGGCTTTTCTTTATCCCCAAATTCTAACTCTATAAGTTTGAGTTTGGGCTTTTCATCTTTGGGCTTGGGCCTATCATCTTTGGGCTTGGGCCTATGTATATAACAAGATGACTCTTTACTAACAATTGAATCACTTAATACTGATCCAGATTTACCTTTTTTATTATTTGTTTTGGGCTTTTCTCTTAATTCTGCACCACTTATAACAGAACTTGCTTTACCTTTTTTCTTCATCATATGTTTTGGTGGCTCAAATGAAATACTAAGTATTGAACTTTCTTTTTCAACAGCCACAACTTTTTTTTTGTGGGGAATTGCTGCAACTAATGAACTATTAGCCATCGAGGCGCTATCGAACGTGACACGTTCGCTACGTTCACTCCTTGTACGACGTAGTATAGGTTTTAACGTAATGGCATTGTTGTTGTTATCATCCTTCTGAGCATCTAGGGTTTTTTGGTCGTAGTTGGGTAGATGTGCATCTTCATCCATTAAATCGCGATATCCAACTGCTGACATACTTAGTTGTCTGTATAGTTGCATGCTTCTCATAGTACCACCAAGTAATGTCACACCAATGTTTAATATTCCTTGAGGACGCCCTGAGGGACGACGTATCTATATCCCAAGAAAAAAAAAAGAAAAAATTAACTTTTAAATGCTAGTTTTGCACATATTTATTCGAAGAAATAGTGAATTATAGGCAAGGACCATCATGTAACATACTTCCTCCGTTTCAATTTGTCTGTCTGATTTTTACTTGACAAGAAGCTATTTCAACACACAAAAATAATGAAATCTCATTTTACAAAAAATATGAAATTTCAAAAAGGGTATATTAGAAACAAAATAGAATGAACATCAAACAATGGAGATGGAAGAATATTGGACATGTTACATTCCACAATTTCATCTACAATAATATATAACGTAGAAAAAAAAATAAAGGGATAATTTCAGAAACAAAGATTATGCATGCATGCAATGCATGCAACATTCCAATTTCACATAAACAAATATTCATAAAAAGATCAAATACTAGAAAGAAACAAACCTGAAGTGCAACAAAACGCATACCAATATGGTGTTGTTGATGTTGCAACCTAGTGGGAGGAGGGATAAGGTTTCCGACAAGGACACGAACGGACCCCACGAGCGAATCACGGAACCAATGTACCGAAAAAATGTCAATTTGTACAGCAGAAGTATCCTGCTGTAAAAATTCATCATCTACCCGAAAAACAAACTTATCATTCCACGTGGGGTTGTTACCACCCTCGGTATCAACCCCTGTGGTGAGTTTTCGGGTAGGATGGACCCACGCGGACGCATAGGTTTTCATTTTCTTGGATATAGGTTCCAAATCTTGCGCGGAGATGATGTTTACCTCCAATAATTGAAAAGGTTTCAAGGCTCCCATTTTGGGAGGCATTTTGAAACGCGAATGATGATGACTGATAATGATGGTGGAATAGAAAATTATATTTCCGCTCGCCGCCCGTCGTTGATGGGACGACGAGGGGAAGAATTTGGCATTAACGTGGAAGAAGACCCCCAAGGAAAATTGGGGAAGGAGAGGAAGGTGATTTTTTTAGAGGACATTAAAGAAAAATAATAGAATACAAAGGGAAATAGTAATTGAATTCAACTTCTTTTTTTGACCATTAAGGTTATTAACATATTTGGATGATTTGTAATTTTTAATTTAATCTTTTTAATTTATAGTCAATAATTGTGGACCTTTAGTTTTTAGAGGAAACTTGTCATTAATATGTGAAAATTTGTTTACATTGTATTTTAGGATTTTTTTTATTTTTTATTTTTTATTTTATAATCAAAATTGATGATGGTTAAAAGCACATTTAATTTTATTTTTTTTTTGCGCGTTTCATATGTCATCAATTATCCTTTGTTCTATTTACTCCAAGTGTTACTGCAATATATGAAAAGATATTACTCTTTTTAGACGAATTAACAAAGAAAAAAAAAGAGTATCACGTAAATTAATTAACAATGAAAAAGAAAGAATGTCAGGTAAATTATGTAGGAGGGAAAAAGTATGTATGATATATACTATGCTTTTGAAATTCAATATATGATGTGAACGTTGGAAACTAAAGGCAGATGCTGGAAATATTGTTTGGTACGTAGTGGTCAATTCAAAAAGGAACAAAAGAGTAATTGACATGAACTATATATTCATCATTCTTGTAATTGCTTTTGCCAAAATAAAGTAATAAAATTATAAAACAAAGTCCTTTTGGAATAAAAGGGATCGATTAGGAATGTTTGAAAATCTACTAAATTATACTTCCATGAATTCTGTGTTGATGTGATATTATTTGATTTGATAAATAAAATGTAATGGTTTATTTTAAAATGTTGTATCGTTGAAGTGCGTGATCATCGATCTCATCTAAATGCTTAAATTGTTATAAATATTTATTTTTAATTATGTCCCAAAAATACTCTTCTCTTGAAGTCTTTTTGATAATAAGTGATGGTGAAATTTATATCGCTAAAAACTTTTATCTGCTCTAGTATTATATTAAAATATTTAACCATCTCATAAAAATGTTAAGTTGTTAGAGAGAAATCACAACAACAATTTATCTAGTGTTATCACATAAATGACATCTTAGAAAAAGAAACTCTAATTTAATTAATTATGTGTTCAACAACATAACACAAAACACATGCATTACTCAACTTCAAAGCCAAAAATCCAAAAATTAAAGTTGTAACTCTTGAAAAGTTAATAAATTAAAACCATTAATTAAACATAGGCAAAAGGATTAGCAAGAAGATATGCTTCAACAAGTTTGAAAAGTTCAATAGCTTTGTCTCTATCTTCTTTGATTTCTTCTTCTTTGACTATACAATTACCATTTGTATGATACTCACTTATTGTCTTGCAAATGCACCCTCCATTTTCACATTCTTCAAATCTAACATAATAGGAAATATGTTCCAAATTTTCTCCAAGAACTTCTCCTTCAATTAATGAATATTTTATTACCATGTTCTTGTTGTCAATGAAATGGATCTTGTGTTTTAAGTACTTTATTGGATATCCTGCCACCATAAAAAAAAAAATATATTATTTTTTGTCTGTTTCACTATAATAAAATATGAAATTAGCTCTGGAACTAGGGGTGGACAAAACCGAACCGAAAACCGAATCAAACCGCAAATCGAGTCAACCTGGAAAAAAAACCCGACTGGTGATTTGGTTTGACTTGGTTTGGTTTAGAAAAAAAAAACCCGACTATATTTAGGTTGGTTTGGTTTTAACTAAAAAAAACCAACCCGAGACCAAACCAACCCAACATTATATATATAATTTTAAAATTTTATTTTATACATAAAAATATTTACTTTGATATAATTTTTAAATATTTCTTATACTTTTTCATATAGTTTTTATCTTTTAATATATGATTTCAAGTTTGAAACTTAGAATTATGAATGAGCCAATAAAGATTATAGTCCACATATGTTGGTAATTATAATAAAGCTTAAATCAAAATTAAATTAATACTAATGCAAAAAAAATAAAATCAATTCAACACTAAGAATGACAATAATATTGAATATTTGTTCTTTAGTTTTACATTGGTTTAGACAATTAAAATACATAATCTAATTTTAATTTTCTTTAATATTTAGACAAATAACTAATACTTATTAAACTTAATTTTAGCATGATTTAGTACTTTTAAATTATGATCATTTTCATTATGACTTGTTAATTTGCAATATTTGTTTTACGTGATTTCATTATTATTATTTTTGTTGGATATTTTAGTGTCATTAATCATATCATATTGTGTTATATTTTTTAAGAAACATCTTAATTAGATAGTTGTATTTTGGTAGGACTAAAGAAATATTTGAAGTACAAGTAAATTATATGTTTGTATGAATACTTTATCGGAAAAACCCGAAACAACCCGAAAACCCGAAAAACCCGAAAAAACCCGAGGTTGAAAAACCCGAGTTTTATTGGTTTGATTTGGTTTATATATTTAAAAATCCGACACAAATTGTTTGGTTTGATATTTGAAAAACCCGAACCAACCCGGCTATGTACACTCCTATCTGGAACTATCGGTAATTCCTAGTTAATTTGTCGCTAAACAATTCCTACATAACTGGATTTTCTTACCATTTATCGTTAATCTATAGCTAAATGAGATTTGCTATAAAATTTTGTCCGTCTTTAAATATTTTTTGTTTTCGATCTATACTATATTATAATTTTTGAACTATTCTATTTTTCAAATGTTGGAGAAGTTATATTGGACTTGATTTTTTCAACTTTATAATTTACTTTTGTGCGTTTCAATACAATCATTATATAAGAATTTAGAAAATTATGAAGCACAAACAAGAAATGGAACTTTCATAGCAACTTTCTAAAAATTGGAAAAAGTCATCACAAAAGACTTTTTCCTTAACGACTTTTGAGTAAAGATTTTCACAAGAAATTATAAAGAAATAAACATATAAAATATTCAATATATTACCCAATGTACGTAATTTTTCTAAACTTATTTGTGGAAAATAAAGGGGTCATCGCGTAGTTATAAAGTCATCAGAAAAATTAATTAGCCTCATTTCTTTGTAATGAAAAAAATCACCTTTCTACCTTATTTGATTAATTGTCACAATTAATATAACTTTTAGCTATAATATAATAGTATGATCATCTTATTTAAAAATATAGGTCAATATAAAGAGATCATAATAACACACTTTATTTAATTATGTCTTCAACATATTCTATCTTACGTGAATATCTTACCACAGTACGTTCGAACTAATCAAGACCTCATCCTACTCTAAAATTATGTTGAATTGGATAATTATCCATCTAAAACCGTAAATTGTAGAAAGAACACACTATTTTTACTTAATTATATCTTCAGCACAAACGAATCAGTACTTAAAAAAGCTAAGTTAATACCTTCGACAAAGTTCATCTTCTTGATGCTTCCATCATGATCTTCAATAATTTCAATATTTTTAACAGCTTGTGACATCAATTTTGGTATAATATTATCTGCATCAAGAACCAAAGCCTTGAAAATCCTATTTGCATCAACTTGTGCTACAATATCTTGGGTATATGTAGTAACACCCATAATTAATATTATTTTTGTCTAAAATTTTAAAAAAATGATAAAAAAAGATTATTATAGTTATTGAGAAGGATTTGAGCTATGTGGATATTGAAATATTTGAGAAGGTATTTATAGGAAAATTTTGGAGTGAGACTAAAGAGTTGAGTCAATTAGTCAACTTTCTAAATTTCAACATTCAAAGCACTCCATTATTGACTTTATTATATAAATGCATTTTTTTTTTTCTAAATGCCCTATCCATACTCTTTGAATATTAAATTTCTAGAAAAGTCATTTATTCACAGTTTCACACCCTATATATATTTCACAATTGATTCTTTATTAAGTTAAAAATATATATAGACAAACATATGTTACTCAAAATTAGATGTTAGATAGTCCATTTTTGGAATAGATCCAAAATATTGAGACTGATTAAAAAAGAAAGTGAGTTATATAAATTAGGATAAAGAGAATACATTTTTATTTGACAAATATTTAATATTATACTGTATCACATGAATTGAGACGTAAAAAATATATCTTTTTTTAAAGTTAGATGAGCCCCCTCAAAATATGATAAAAGAGATTAGTCAAAAAGTGTCTTTTTTCAATTCTTAATAAAAATCTCGATTTTCAAAGTCTTTAATACGAAACAAATCATCTTAGATAACACTTTTCCTTTAAATAAGCTTTATAGGATGCAAATACTAATTTATCAGTCCAATATAAATATCAAACACCAAATATAAAATAAATCAAAAAAATCCAAATTTTCGTCAAAATCGTTTTTTTTTTTTTTTCATGTTCTGTTTTTTTCCGGCTATTACGACAATCCTCTTCTGTCTTTTTCACCAAAATTTCCTTTTTCCAGTCTGCAAAATCACCAAAAAATAAACAGCAAAAGTCAAATAAAAGGAACCCATTTTTACCTTTTAAATACTCATTTTTGTATTGAAATTCAAAGATTCTGAATTGGGTAAGTGCTAAAAATTAGAAAAAAAAAGAGAAAGATATGAATTCCATAAAGGATACAGTTTCTGAGAAGCTTTCACGTCTTTTTTCTGATTCTCCTTCTAAATCTTCAGATCAACAACCTCAGGTTCTTTTTTTTCTCTTTATCTTGTTAAAATTAGCAAAAAAATGATTTTTTTTTAATGTTATGTTGTTGTGAAATTTAGATCTTTGCTTTTGATATGTTGATATTATGATTTTAAAGCAATGTGATTGTTGTTTAATGATTAAAGTTTCAATTTTTATGAGCACCCATGAGGTATCATGTTTAAATTTTAGCGGACGCAAAAATACTAGGTGATTTTTTTTCATCTATCCAACGTGTGTTGGTGGGGTAGCATGTATTTCGTAGAACTAATTGAGCTGGCACGGACACCACATTTAATGAGATGAGAGTAAGGCTACGTACAATAGACTTTTGTGGTTCGAGTCTTACCCGGACTCTGTGCATAGCGGGAACTTAGTGTTCTGAAGCTGCTCTTTTGTATTGAGATGAGTACTGAGAAAATGCATTAAATTGGTTGTGGGTTTGAAAAAGATATGGAGAGCTTTGTAATTGTGTGATAAGTGGCGTTGCATTTGTTTCCTTGTTAGAAGGATTGATTGGTTGTTCATAATTGTTTACTTTTTCGTTTTTTTGATGATTGCAAATATGAATAATTTCTTAGTTTTTGAGAAGAAAAGATGAGATGGGATAAGCACTAGTTGTGTTGGTGTACTTACACTAGGTGTTTGTGAGCTCTCTTTGAAGTTCGTTTAGAGATTTGTATGTTTGTAGAAAATGTAGAGAACTTCGAGTGTCAAAGGACCTCGAGATTATTGAGTATTGGAATGAAACATGACCAAATGGAAGTTGAAGAGTTGTGAAACCTACACAAACAAGATGTATTTTTTCTCTTTTATTTTGTTCTGAGAACGAAAAATTGATAATTAGCAAAGAACACTGAATATTTGAAATGAAATCCTCCGGTAGCTTATTAATTGTGACACTGTAGTTCTCTGTGTTTAGGCCAGGCCATACACCAAAGAGGGAAGATCTTTATCATCTGTACTTTCTATCTTTCTACCGTCAACGAGTTTTAGTAAGTTCAAAGGTGAAGATGATGTCAAGTCGCTTCAATCACATTCTTTTACGTGGAGAAGTAAAAGTTTCTCATGGCGTGATAGACCTTTGGAGAAATACGCAGAATGTGATGATCATAATGATCACATGGAAGAAGGTGAAAATGGCTTGATCAGGAGTTCAATTGGTGTGTTGAACGAATCGTTCTATACACCTAGGTGTAATGAAGAACCTAATTCTGCAAGGAGCGTCGCCAGTGGTTTTGAACCTTTCGAAGATGCGCCTGATGGAGACAGTTTAGAGCAGTCCATGCCTAATCTCGTTGATGATTCTGTCTTCATTTCTCCGGACTTGTATGATTTTTTCCAGTCTTCTCTCCCTAATATAGTGAAAGGCTGTCAATGGTCCTTGTTGTATAGGTAACTTCGACTTAGAACTAGTCTCCATTGAAGATGTATTGCAACTTTTGCGGTTCAATATTCATATTTACTCTGTTTATTTGAATGAAGGGCAGCACCGCGAAACATGGTATATCACTTCGTACGCTAATTCGCATGAGTGCTAATTCTTCTGGTCCTTGCTTGCTGGTATTTTTGCCTCCACATTACTGCAAAAACTTTATGTCCATGCATTACCAATATGATACTCCCCCGTCTCAATTTATGTGGCACCGCTTGACTAATTTTAAAGTTAAATTGTTTTCAATTATAGAAATGTGACCTTTTTTTGGATAGACTAAAAAGGAAAGTATGCCACATAAATTGGAATAGAGGGAGTATCATTTTTCATATTCTTTTTCCTCATCGTTGATATGAATTTCTCTTAATCATGCTTGTTCCAGATTACCGGCGATAAGCAAGGTGCTGTATTTGGTGGGTTGCTTGAGGCACCACTCAGGCCAACCGCGAAGCGGAAGTACCAAGTAAGTAATAATTTTTTTTCTCCTTTTACACGAGATATGTGACAATAACCCGTATTCACTTTCTTTTAATCAATTCGAACTTATGGTAAACTAATATCCCAAGAACAAATAACCAGCTTTTGTTGTCTTGTGTTGCCCTTGGTAATTTTGCGAAGTCAAACACCCTTGCTATGAAGAGTTATTGTATACTTACATACATAAAGTGTCGTTTGTACAAATACCCTTCTCCAAGAAGAAATATCGTATATTCTTGTAGGTATCTTGTAGAGAGTCGTAAAATGTTTTATATTGTCTACTTTTTGGTATGTATACAGGGGATTTTTCCATTGTTTAAAAAAATGTTTGAAAAAGGGTAGATTGTTTGTGCTTATTCAGTCACTGATCTCATTTTTATATCCATTGCTAAAAGATGCTTTCATTCTATTATCCTGACAGGGAACAGTTCAGTCATTTGTATTCACAACTGTATATGGTGAACCAAGGCTATTCAGACCTACGGGTAAGTATATCAAGTCGATAAACCCTTATATCGTATATCTCTTTGACTGAAATATCTCATTGTTACATATGAGGTCGACCAAGCTACTTATCTTCAGTATAAACCTATTTGAATTTACAGATGACCGTTAAGACTCGCTTCAACTAAATTTAGGCGATAAACCATCCATTATAAAGCCAACATTTTGTGATATGATTTTCAGCAAATTTGACACCTCTTTACTTATCTAGTGAGTTAGTACACCACACAGCTTGACTTCTCTTTCGTAGTTAATCGAAGATTCCTACTATTTTTTTTTTGGGGGGGGGGGGGGGGGGTGTTAGGTAAGGAAAAATACATGAATGAAACAAAGACTCGCAGAGTCTTTGTAATTTATCTTTAGGACAGTTGAGGAATTCTATCGTACTATGTATTTCGTGTACATTCTTAAATTATACACCATCGCCAAAAGAGATTATATATTGGTCTAACATGTGTGTGTATATATAAGATTTTCTTCAACCATAACATATACTGATCATATAGTTGTTGGTTTTTGTATGATACTACTCACTCAAGCTTGCTATAACTTTCTATAAGGTTAACCTTACGTACGTATTTGATACATGTAATGCACTATACATAAAAATTTCCAGGAGCAAATTACCTAGTATTTTTTTTGGTTTTTTGTTTGGGACTAGGTGCCAACAGATATTTTTACTTATGCATGAATGAAATCCTGGCACTTGGAGGAGGTGGACATTTCGCGTTATGTTTGGATGGAGATCTGTAAGTTTCTTGACATTGTAGCTTTGCAGTTTTCTTCATTACAATCTTCTGAAGTTCCATCATCGTGATGAAATAATTTTTGATGAAGGTTATCTGGTAATAGTGGACCTTGTGATACGTTTGGGAACTTATGCTTAGCACATGATGAAGAGTTTGAGTTGAAGAATGTTGAGGTAATGTACTACTAATCTTGTCCAGAAAACTATACTGTTTTGAACAATTTGATGAATATTCTATGACCGATGATTTGACAGTTTCGTTTTCTTGATGCAGCTGTGGGGTTTTACACATGCATCTCGATACCTTACCTCGTAACAAGCCTGAAGTGAAGTGTTAGTTTTTCGATTTATCCGATGAAATTTAGAAATATGATTATTTATTCTTTCAGTTTAATTTTGGAGAGTTTCTGATGTACAAGTTGTATCAAGAAATTAGATTCTTTAGTTAGTGTATAGGTACACATTCTTCTTGTTTATGACATGAACATTTCAAGTTTTGGCATTCCATAAGTGAAATTATATAAATTCTTCATGAAAATAGTGTTTTATTATATACAGCTTACATGAACCTCAACTAATTTCATGAGGTATCCCATTATCTCTCACTAACACGAATATTAGATGACTTTATCCATCGAGGTTTGGACAAATGAGAAGAAGTCATGGGATGAAAGGAAGTCGTAATTGTTGAGCATATCCTAGTTTTTAAGGTAAAGGATCAGTACATACAGACAACTACTTTCCCAAATGGACAATGAATACAATATGAATGATATAACATCATTTCACCAAGAATAGTATCCCGTGTTGGTAGTACATATGTTTGAACCCTAGCAGAATGGAACTATATTGAACAAAAAACCAATGAAGTTACACTTGAAAGAACAACAAATCTCTATCAACCTCTGATTCGACGTTGCAGCAGGAAATGTAGGGCTAGTATTTTTGCTTTAATAACCGCAAGTAAGGCTAGCTCTCTGATTGATCCTCCTCAGGCAGCCCGAATATTCTTAAATTTCGATCCATGGATCCAACAGCTATGTACTTTGCATCTGGACCGAATTTCAGACATGTTGCTTTACCTACATGGGGCGATAGCAGAGTCAACAATGATGTAATTAAACGTTAAAGGACCATCAAAAGGACATATAGGCAAAAAGAATAACAGAGAGAAAGCTAACCTGTGCCTGACAAGTCGGGGAGGATTTTGATGGAATTCCAATCGGACTTAACACTTGCAACTTGATAAACTCTGATTCAGCGCAAAATTATGTCCATATTAATACTAATGGATCAATAGTCATAATCAACATAACAATGACAACTACACGTCAACCCCATACTATGCTCATTGATATTTTTCATTTTGGAGGGTTAATGGTCCTTGAAACCAGTAAGGGGGTTAAGGTAATAGTACAGGAAGGGTACAAGTGAAGCAAAATCAAGACACTCGAACAACTGATGCTCTACGGGGGTAATGCACCTTCCTTATCTAAGACACAGCACGGGGAAGTTTGTGTAGAAGTCTTACCTTATATCTGAGCCTCCTAATGCAAGATAATTTCCACTGTGGTCGAATTCCACTGCAAGTACATGAGAAGCAGAAAATGATTAAAACTGCAGTAATGGAGGATAAATCTAAGATATAGTTGGTACAATGATTATTTTTTGACAGGTACACCATACGATTATGCGGCATCAGAAAGCTTATAAAGATTGAGGTCTGCGCAAAGGGAAATGACCCATTATGCATGTGACTCCTAAAGATAGCATACTCATGAATATTATAGGTTCATCTACAACACAAGAAACTTGGCCTTGAAACTGCTTTGTGTGGACTTAACAGTAAAATTTTGCTAAAATGCTTAGCAACACCTTTCTGATAATCTGATCAACACAAGTCTTCTAAGATGTTTTTTGTGTCAAACTCCAGTAGAATGCAGTTAAGAGATTTTTTAAGAGTGGGAATGCAGTTAGTCAGTCTTGTACCTGTTTGAGTAGCTGTATCTTCATCATAAAGAGAGAAGGTTCTGAAGTTTCTTAATTTTCGTAAATCCCAAAGTTTAACACTATCATGAGCTGCAGTCTGACCAAAACAAAAAAAGAACAGGACACCCACCAGTTAAAAAATTTAATCATAAAACTCACTTGACGCTGGTATTAGAATGGTCATCAAAAGTTCGTTCTGTAATAGAATACTCACTGCTAAGAAATAACCATTTTCTGAGAAGGAAATTGCAGTTACTGCGCCAACATGGCCTTCAAATCTTGCAACATTTGCCTATATAGCAGGCACCAAAGAGGATCCCAAAAGGGAAAGGACAGAACACTAAGAACACGGAGATAAAAGAAGATAAATTACATCAGTAACTTATGTAGCTCTTCAGGAACACACACCTGACTTTTTACATCCCATATCTTGACCTGAGCCCCTGAAGTCCCTGCTCCAAGGATCAGACCATCAGGGTGAAAAGCTGCAGATGTGTAGCCCTCAGATTCTGAAGCATCTGCTACCTGCAATAGAATTTTAGAGTTGATGACTCTAGGAATCTGAAAATTGTTTCTGGAAATGAGAGACGAAAGAGAAAGATACCTGAGCAAGGCATAAACCAGATGCAAGATCATAAAAGCACCATGTGCCATCAAGAGAAGCAGACACAAAGTACTTATTGGTTGCATGGACGGTGACAGCCTGCACCTGAATTTATTGGTAGATGCATTACAGTTAAAAAATCACAATAGTTAATAGAGAGCTAAAATTTCAGATGTGGTATCATTCTTACGAAATCAGTAATATCATGCCTCTGAAGAACTCATATAATAAAAGAAGGCAAGGGACAAGGTATCACCAATTTCCATGCAAAAAAATGATCTTTAATTTTTCCTACAATCATTTGGAGTAGCGCTAAAGAGCTTTCCTTCCTTTTGACCCACCCAAGTTTGTATTCTAGAGGTGGAAAATTGCAATGTGGCTACTTATGGTAAATACTTTCAATCCTGACTTGAGTAGCAAAGAGTTTTCCTTCCTTTTGACCCACCTTCTGACTTGCATGTTTGGGTGCATCTAGACTCCAGCAGTGACTTCGCTCCTTGGGTCTTACTCGCTTGGATATTCCAACTTCAAAGATGCAGTAGGCATTTAAAAGGGCCATTTGAAGTGGCTACCTTCTCTCATTCTCTCTCCTCTCTCTCTCTCAATCTAAAGACGTGCCCTGCTCAAATTTTGTTCATATTGCTTCCCCACAAATACTAATGATGAAATATAGAGAAACTCTGCAACTACAACTAAGCACCAGTCCATTGGAAAGACTTCCATTCAAATCTTTCACATCTTAGGCATGGATCTCTTCCAATTGATGTTCCCCACCTAGGTAAGAAACATTCTGAGGCAAGAACCTATGCTGCTCAGACTCTTCAAAAATGTCGATGGGTGTGTGTCTGATACTCCAAAAGAAGTGCATGTTGGATAATCTGACACAGGTGCCGAAATATTTTTGGATAGTCTGAGCAACATAGGCAAAAACATAATGCAGTGGTTGAATATCAAAACTACCAACCGAGGTGCATTCTATGTTTGAGAGCCCAAGAAAAAGTATGTCTTCCATTTTTTTTAATGAAGGCAAAAGAATATTTTCCATTTTTTTTATAAAGGCTTAAGTTTACAATTTTTTAATAAAGGCAAAAGAAAATATTGCATAATCCACCTTAATTAGTACAAATCCACCAGGATAAGTTGTAGCACTTTGTTCTTAAAATATTTAAGAGGTCAAACAACATCATAATTTTCAGAATTAATAAATGAGATATTAAGATGAAGTACCTCAGCACTGTGGTCCTTCAAAGTATGCCTACAGTCATAATTTCCATTTTCAGAATTTTGCCACACACGAACTGTCTGCAATAGTCAACTGCAGAAGTTTAATAGAATATGGTAGGCAGGAATAAAACATGGACCAGGTTATGCAATTGAAGAAAACCCACCATCCATTAATTCCAAACAATTGTTACCACTCTATACCACCAAACTGTAGGAAGCAATGGGGGAAATAAATGTTTTCCAAGACAAATAAGAAGGTGAAGTTGACTTTTCAATGAGAAGAAGATCATGACATTTGAATCCACAAAACAACACACAGGAAATGTACAAGTCAATTGCAACTTCTGATCAAAGAGAACAAATCAGGTTTACCTTATCTGCAGAGCCAGTAACTACTAGTTCACCCTCAGCAGCAAATCTGACACTAGTTACCTGCAAAGAGAGAATATGAGCCACAAATTCTTTCTCAAGTAAGGTTAATGAATAAATAAGTCTTAATCAGGATATAAAAAAAGGAGAATATAATGAATCAGAAATTATTTCTAGGAAAAAAGATGACAGACCCTCTTTGAGTGACCACTTAGTGTCGATACAATCTGTCCTGAAGGTAGATCAAAGACCACAGCAGTTGAATCAACTCCACCAGTAGCAATGATGTCCTGATACAAAGTAAAAAAGAAATTTGAGCCACCAATATTAAGTTTGGTGATAAATCTTTTACATGAATGAAGACTTATCTCTAACCCAGGTAACAAGGTGCACATAGAATGTCTGATAAGTGACAGCATTTGACACCCATGCAGTGAGTATATTTTTTGCCAAACTACAATGTGTATATTCAAATTTGATCACAATAAATATTTGATGTGAAGATTCAACAACAGGAAACATCCTCGAAAATATGCATAAGTCCTAGCACTAGACTTAACCCAGCCACAGAAAATAGTATAGTACAATTTACCAGTAAAGTACTTTGCTCATTCAACACAAAGGTTTTAGCTTTCATAGAATCCAAGAAGTAATCCTAAGGTCTACATCTTTAAGGTTAGTGACCTGTGATTAAGCAGGAAAACAAAAATAACATTGGCTTTCAAGTTATCACTAGCTTTTCTACATCAGCCTTACAATTCCCCAGAAGTAGTGGGATATTTTCATCTTTTCAAGAAATGAGTTTTCCAAAACAATGTTTAACACACATTAAGTGAACATGATGCGCATACTGCATACTTGTGAGAAGGTTAAAGATATAAATTGGCAGCTCACTTTGAAGTCCATAGTCAAAGAACTTGATACTGCAAAACTTAATGTCCCTTGAACAAAGTCCAGTGAAAACTACTGATGTTCTTAAGATAAAGCACTCACAATTCATGAAGAAACAAAGCCGCCACAAACCCTAGGCAGCTGTACATAGCCAGAAGTTTTGGTTACGATATGACTCATATTTCAACTTTTGTAGTTTAGAGATGCTCATAATCAAATCGATCAGAAGCTTGGTCTCGTGTATGAACAAGA